GTGCTGTATCCCACTACCGGCCCACACTGCCCGTTAGCTGCAGAGCTGATTCGCAGTCCACTGTTTGATGCTGTTGTCAGTCTGGGGGGTTGAATGACCTGATGCTGGATTTAGATTCTTCCTGGGGACTGTACAGCTATGAATGTATTCGCTTCCAGAACCTCCCAAAGTGAATCTAATCTTAAAACTGTAAGTTGTAAGTATTCTGAAATTGGGAAATATTTATTTTAAATGAAATCAGGTCGTGTTGCTTTTTACAGCATAATAAATACATGTATCCAAAAAATACCTGTAAAAATGAATTTTTTAAAACCACTAAGGTTCTCTTACATCACTGGGTTAGGAACTCTGCTGAGTATACAGACTGTATCTGTTGGTTCAAATCAATTTCTAATGCCTACTCTGAGCCAGGAACTACGCAAGGTGGCAGCGGGAGTTCTCACAATGATTAAGACAACCCTGTAAGGAGTTCATCCTTGAGGGTGGGAGGATGGACAGGCACGTTTCCAGCACTCTAGAAGCTAACGCTATCATTCTGCAGTTAGGACACACTCTAAGTATCTGTAGAATTCAGTCATTAGACATGTCCTTCACTAGGAGGGCTTCTGACCTCCACTAGTGAGGGGAGAGGTGGTTTTCACAGAGCCTTGTCCTCTGTCTAGGGAGCTGTATCCAGTGCAGCCACACTAGGGTCTGAGCAGGACAAGCCGGCAAATGGCAGTACCTTCCTGGTTCGTGGGTCTATGGGATGGCATTCGCTCCCAAGGCCAGAAACCCTGTTTACTGGGTTAGGGGTAGTGTGTGGTTTACCGTAGAGACAGTATGAGAATACACGGCTGCCATTTTCAACTACCAGAGTTGTCTGTCACAAAGTGCTCTGCAGTAGTCAGGCGGTGTGAACCATCTGCATCACTGACATTTTAGGACAGAAAGAGACATCAGACATCTCTCATCTAATCCCACTCACAAATGAAGCTGAGACCCAGGAGGGGGCTGTGATACAGAACTCCGAGTCTCCTCTCCTTTCTCTACATCCTACCACACTGTCCCCGCTATGGACAGAAAACTCGGACTTTTCAGACAGAAAACTATGGACTTTAAAACTATAGAGTTTTAAAGACAAGCGTTAAGTGCTACAGCGCTCAGCCTTGCCGCGTGTGGCCGCCAGGAGCCACGCGTGCGCACACCCGCGCACAGAGGCAGCGCAGCAGCACAGGGGAAACACGAGTAACACCAAATAGAGAAAAGTTAAATCATGCTTATCCTTGATAGAACAGGAGCGTATTACTTTTCTGGGGCTGTTTTTAAGGACTGGGTAATCTTTCTAATTTTACTTACTTTCATAGTAAAATGAGTAAATGAGTAAATTCGTGACTCATAGGCCAGACAGCACAGGGAAGCAGCTGGTGAATGTGTTAGGTCAGACTTTAAAAAGGGGCTTTTGGGGGAAGGGGTACTTTATAGTTACATAAAGAAAGGATGTGATTACTAGAAGATCAGGGAAGGTATGTGTGTTTTGGGACAGGAAGGATAGAAAATTAAGTCAGTTATTGCAAAGGGGCAAAGACTGGGCATTTTATTTCTATTCTGGAGCCTGGACCCAACTCCATGCCTCCACGCACTCCAGCCTTGCCCCTGGCTGCCTCTCCATGTCTTTTTGTTTGTTTTGTTTTTAAAGATTTGAGAGAGACAGAGCGCACACAAGCAGAGGGAGCGGCAGGCAGAGGGAGAGGAAGAAGCAGACTCCCCACCAAGCAGGCAGTCCCATGCGGGGCTTGATCCCAGGACCCCAGGATCATGACCTGAGCCAAAGGCAGATGCTTAATCGATGGAGCCACCCAGGTGCTCGTCTCCACATGTCTTTTAAAGAGTCTACTAGAATTGAGTCCAACAAGCAGTCTTAATAACAAAAACTGCTTTGTGCATGTACAGAAAACCAGGGAAAGGCTGTCAACACACCACCAGCAGGGCACTGAAGTGGTGCGAGGGCACTAGGAAACACAGACTTCACATAGTATGAGAATGCAAAACCGATTATTAGCTTCCTGCCAAAGGTACCACTGAGGTACCCCTACATTTGTATGCCCAATATAAATTTACTATGTTTACAAATGCTTAAGTGTAGTACTTTTTTTCAGTTGGCCAAGTAAGAGGTTTAACTCCTCAGTACAGCATACACATAAACCTGAAGTTAGTCTACCAAAACTCGGAAGCGGGGTATGATTGTATCTTTAAAGAGCTATAAAATTCATATTAGAAGGTTCTAAAAACCACATTATCTTTAGCCTTCTTAAAACTGTTTTAAATGCCATTTCCTTGGAATTGTGGATATTTTTATAGAACAATTTAAGTTATCTGTAGCTTTTGGCTGTTTCACAAAATCTTATGTTTCCATAAGTAATGCAGTTAGAACCTATGATCCAGTATCTCACATCTCGGGCTCCAAAAGAGCAGGGCTCTTTGTTTTTGCTTACCGACGTTTCCCAAATGTCTAGAATAGTGCTGGCTGCCTGCAGGTGCTTGGTAATATTTGATGAACTAGTACAGTAGTACAGTGGGTGAGTCTTAACTACCCAAAAGAAGCCACTCAGACAAAATACCCATTGCTCTGGCAACAGCATCCTGGTCCAAACAGTAGGTACCACAGTTTTCAAAACAATTTCTAGTTTTTTTCCTCGGGACAGTCAGAGGTGAAAGGAGTGCTCTGTTTATTGACTTAATATTCCATTTTAGCTTACAGGCACTAAGTAGATTTTGGTCATTTAATGCTGAATAAATAGCTCAATCATTTATTGCCATCTCAGGAATCTCCTTCCTATTTGATAAGGAGAAATTTTTCTCAGGTGGTATATAAAAACTCTGTGCTTATCAAACCCTCTACAAAACCACACCAGAAGCACTCTTAAAACTCATAAACATCCCTAAGCCAGGATCTACATGGTGACTCATGATAATGATCAATTATATATGAATACAAGCTTAGGGCTAGGCAGGCCCTTATCTACTGGAGAAATACGGTTCTCCATGTTTATCATAAAGAAACTGTATTTCCAAGCTGTGAAGACTGCAGATGCAGAGATGAGAAAGGTCCTGTTATGATGCCAGCATTCAAGCCTACACCACTATCCCCTGATGACTCTTCAAACAACAGTTAGGTCAAGGCTGCCAGATTTAAGTAGTGATTATGTCTTTCATTACAAGATTTTTTTTTTTCTCCCAGCTCAGGGTGCCTTTTACTGAGAAGGCCATGGCTTTCTAGCTTAAAACATCTTTGGAGAAAAATGGCCCCTTTGGGCGTGGGCACAGTGTCTCCTCAGGAAGAGCCCCTCTGATCTTGGGATGTGGGTCTGAGATGTGGCTTTGGAGCCAAGACAAGAGTCCCATTTCCATGTGTTTTTAAGTTAGGAACTTAAACTAGCAGTACCAAAATATATTTCAAACTAACTGCCAAATTATTTGCGCATTTGGAGACAGCTGTGGTCATCGAGACCAAAGCACTTTTTTTGTTTGTTTGCTTTTCATGGCACTCCTGCAGCTCATTCCAGAACTGCTTCCTGCCCGCTCTCTCCCACTGACCCATCCGCCAGAGCAGTCCGGGCTGCAAGCAGGCTAAGAAGGGCCGGTGCTCGGAAACATGGTGTTACCAGCCTTACTCAAAAATCCGGACTCACGCAATTGTATGTCTGATCATAAGTAAGGAGAAAATGGGAAAAACATCAAACCTACACATAAATGCCAGTAACTTTTAAAATCTTTACGCCAGATTTGTTTGTAAGAGACTAACATTAGAGTTTCAATACTTCTCATAAGTAACCAAAATCCCTTGGCTGGCACGGTAAAATGAAACCATGCCAGGTTGTTCTCAAAGGGCCAAACACACCTAAACAGTTAAAATGCTGACAATTAGAAACAATTATTTTTTTTTTTTAACGTCCTGTTCTTTGTTCCTTCCTCCCTTCAATCTAAAAAGTCAATACAGGGGCGCCTGGGTGGCTCAGCCAGTTAAGCCGCTGCCTTTGGCTCAGGTCATAATCTCAGGGTCCTGGGATTGAGCCCCTCATTGGGCTCTCTGCTCGGCAGGGAGCCTGTTTCCCTCTCGGTCTCTGCCTGCCTCTCTGCCTACTTGTGATCTCTGTTTGTCAAATAAATAAATAAAATCTTAAAAAAAAAAAAAAAAGTCAACACAAAGCCAGTCAGGTTCACACAGTCTTACGTAAAAACTGAGAGGAGGGGAGTACCACGTGCAGAGTGTATTTAAGGCGATACAGATAGTTTAAATTTTAAAATAGACTTTGAGAAAAGTTTATTCCCACCAGAAAAATATGGCATCTACGTACTACTATAACTGTGGTGGTGACGGTGGGAAATGAGGGCGCAGATATAGAGCCAGCCGCCTGTCTGTGAACGGGTTCTGAGGAAGAACGTGGCAAACCCGCCCCACCAAGCCATGTGCGTGGTGTCAGTGCTAGTGAGGGAAGACGGTGAGTAACAGAATGCGCTTCACGGAACATCAGAAAGCAGTCTAGAAAAAGCACAGGAGAGATGATGGAACCATTTGCAAATGTATTTTTCAGAGACACACATCATCACTGAAAAACATGCACTTCTCAATGCAGTTACATAGGACGAGTTCTCAAATTGTTTGATTCTCATACGATCTCCAGTTAATTACTTGTCAGTCACTCTTTTCTCAATTTGAAAATTTCATGACTAAGACTAAATACCAGCTAATAACAATAAAGACACATTAACCCATTTAAGAAACATGAACTAAATTTCTGAGTTGGTCTAAATCTATGATTAACTTCAACTTTTTGAAGAGTAACAGGATTTTTGTCTCGAGAGAGTGGTTGTTAATAGCCTGGCTCCCATGACAGAAATGTGAAGATAATTTCATTTACTAGTGACTGCGAAGAAGGTGGGATATATTCAGCTTTGGACATTAAGGCTTAAGACAGAAAAAAAAAAAAAAAAAAAACTACTCAAGAGTCCGGGAAACGTATTTCCTTCTACTGATACTAGCCAGTATCATATAGCCATAACAGACGGAAAAGCTAAGTCTCCCAAGAGAGAGAATTTGCTTTTAGCTTTAAACGGCCAGCGTGGAAAACGTAATAAAATAAAGAACACAACTTTTACCCCCTGTGCAGATACAGGATGGCTACTTTGATAAACAGTTGATGTCATTCTGTGTGACTTAGCTCTGAACGATTTCATAGGTAACCCAACAGAAAACCTCCAGCCATATCTGCAGCAGAGGGAACAAGTAAAAATTCTCTAGAATAGAAATCTGCCAATCCTACATCAAGAAGTTCCCTAAGTAACCGTGTGATCTATCCAACAGCCTGTAACAGCAGCCAGGCACGGACTTTGTGCACAGCATTATACATGCTGCTCAACTTCTCGCCTTTCCTAAAGGATTCCCATTCTAGCCCTGACGTGTTCAGTGTACCTGGATATTTTTCTTTGTAAAACCCACACTACAGAGAGGGCCTTTCAATTTTACCTTTCATTAGATGCATGAAGCCCTTCAGAGTAACAGACGTTTCTGAATTGGGGGAAAATCCACTTGCTATCAACAGGTTGCAGCAAATTTGTTCGTCTTTGTTTCATTTCCCTAGAAACATAGGATGTGAAGGAACAGAGCAGCAGGAGGGAATCACAGATGGGAAGGAAAAATGTCGCCAGAGAAGATGAGAAAAATTCATGCTCTATACTGCATTCATCTGTAAAAGATAAAATGTGGTTAAGTTTACTACACAGCTCTTAGGAAATGCAGACCCACACATTTGACACGGCTCGTCGGTTCTGCAATGGGGTAGTAGGAAGACACTTCCACAGCAAATAACCACTGTGACATCGGAGGGCCTTCACATGTGCTATTTATCCTTTTTCCTGGACTAATCGAGACCTTTTATATCATCTAAGCAGATGGATTATTCCTCTGCAGCCTGCCGGCTTAATTCTGTCCAGTCATGCAGGCCGCATAAAGCATTCTGCTGTTATGCAAGTCTGGGGGCAGAGCAACGTGGCAAATCCTCTCTCACACAACAAGAGCGAGGCAGTGCTGAGCTGTGTGCCCGAGGGAGGACGGCACGGGTGAGATGATGACTTTTCCTTAAAGGCCACGCAGTGGGAATAATAAATGAATGCCTTTCAGGTACAGACTAGAGACACAGAATTTGGAGGCAGCCCTGCCCTTCCCCCTGGAGAGCCTCTTGCCCAGGTGCCGGGAGCAGCGCACCTTGTGGGCAGTAAATTGCGCATCCAAGGAATCCCAGCCTGCCCCTGACTTCCTAGCTTCACACCCCCACCCCCCAATCCTGCTGCTCTTCCCACAGGCCAGGGGCTCTTCACCAGCCTGGGTCTGCCCTCCAGCAACGTCTAGAGATGTGGTTGATCATCATGACTGGGTTTGGGTCTGGGGGTGCTAGTGGCCTCTAGGGGGCAGAGGCCGGGGGTGCTGCTAAGTACTCCACAAGGCAGAGAACAGCCCTCTGAAACAGAAAATTACTAGACTCCCAGAATACCAAGAGAAACACAGGACTAGACTGTAAGCCTCTTGGGAACTGCCCTTTAAGGTTTTGGAGAATTCCTCTAGTACCTATTTAGGAAGCCACAGAGTGACCCAAACAATCAAGTCAGAATGTGTAATGACTTATAGTTGTTTCTACAATGAGTCCATTATTTTTAATCCTAAGTGCTCAATGATGGGTAGGACCCAGTGGGCTCTTATGAACATTATTTTGGATTGAAAGCGCAGTGAAGGTTTGGCCCCTACGTTTCAATATGTGGCTGAAATGCGTAGTTGAGAGAGTGGACTTTTGGAGAGAGGGAAAAAGAGAGAGACAGAAGGAGAGAAAGCCTGGACCCATATCCTGTCACCATCTCTTACTAGCATGTGTGACTGTGGCTTATCACCCAGCCTCTCTAAATCTCAAGGTCTTGTCCTTCCAAAGCAGGCTAAGAGGACCTGGCAGAAGGACGTGATGGAAGGATTAAATGAGAGACGGTGTGCAGTGCCTAGTGCAGCAGAAGGAACGAGAGATGGTCAATAAATGTTCCTGTTGTTATTATCAGCTTTGCCAAAGGCTGGCAGGAGAGTACACTGGTTCTCATGTAGTCCCCGAGGAAGAAGTTTGTTGTACAGGAAATCCAGACTAAACAAATACTCAAGTCATCCTGAAGAAAACACTGGTGCTCTGTCTCTCTCGGACAGTTTCCTCAGGGGCCCGCAGTCCCTCCTGGTCCTGACCCTAGTCCAGAGTGGCAACCTGCAGACGAGGCTGAAACAGCAGGCCCCGGGAGAGGCTACTCTGTTTCACAGCATATGCTCTCCCATCAGGAGCAGAAAGCAGATGCTGACAGAAGTCATGGCCAAGGTCAAGGACAGATCATATGAGATGAAGTAGAGTCCACCCAGTTTGGGGACTAATCCAGCTTTTATTTTGTCCAGTCAGTGCCTTGTCCATATTATCACCTCTCCTAGCTCTCTCAGTCTTCTAAAGGTTGAACCTGGAGAGAGATGTGTGTGTATGCGTGTGGGTGTGCAAAACAGACTTCTTTTGCCCTACAAATGAAATGAATGAAATCATCTGGATGGAATGGCTGTGGGGGGGGTGTCCATTTCCTGGCATTCATTTAGAGAATTTAAATCCCTCTCCCAGTAGCATTCTAAGAGCACAGAGAAAGTCAGTCACACGCTTGCACAGATGGACACAACTAATCCATCTTATTTTCTTAAGGTCAAGGGGAATAATGGTGATGACAGAGTTGGAACTCTGACTTCCGAATCCCAAACACACGCTTCCCACCCGAAGGCCGCGCTGCCTTTGTCCTGATAAACTGGAACGAGACCTAGGGAGTCCTGTGCAAACAGTTTCTCTGCGGTGATGTTTGGAAGGAAAGGAAGCTCTTGCTGTTCTGGGAGGCGTTCCAGGCGAGGGGACGGCCTGCACGCTAGAGACCCACCGGCTGGATTCCCATGCTCCCTCCACCACTTAGTCAAGTTGGACAGCTTGGGATGGGGGGGCTCCTTTCCCACACTGTAAAACTGAGAACAGTAACAGCTAACTCAGAAGGTAGTTGTGAAGACTGATGAAGTCACTCCTGGTGGGGTGCCCGGTACACAGAACGTCTCACCTACCAATGGGGCTGACTGTGATGATAATGTACCTTGCTCAGGAACAACAAAGAAGGCACGAAAGAAGGTCAGCCATTTTGTAGTTCTGTCAACAGATCTTACACTCCCAGAAGAGGGCTTTGCATTTGTTCCGTTTTTCTGTTGGGCTTATAAAGTACTTTATAGTAGCCTTGAGGGCTACATTCCAACAGGAGAGGAGTCCTTGCCCATAGAAAACGTTCATTTTACATGTGCCAACAGGAACAGAAGTGACTTTTTTCATTTTCAACAATCAGGAAGGTGTAAGAAATCAAGATCTCTAAAAGTCTCAGCCTGGGCTTCTTCAGGTGAGAAAAAGGGACCAAGAGAAAGGTTACATACCAGAAACTTGACTCTCAACAGATGTTACTGATGTCACATGCACACAAGACTATATGATCCCAGGTGTGTGAAGGGTGGCACCCCCTCTCCACCTCTCCCTTCCCTGCCCTCCCGCCTTGTCCCCTGAGCACACGGTCTGTGCCGGTACCAGTTACAAGAAACTGATGAAGAAAGGATGGTAATAACTCAAGCAAGACTTTTTTAAAGGAGTAAACACATTTTAACAAATAAACTGGAACAGCTTCCCATGGAAAAGTGCTCCAAATTAAACAGTGTCAGCAAAATTCCAGCCGACCAAAAAAGTCTTCAGGAGGATGGATTTCGGCCCGACAGGCAAACAATACTATTTGATTTACTGAAAAACATTCTCTCAAAGGCAATAGATTCTCTCTTTTATAGACAACCCTGTTCCTATTCTGGTCGTGACACTCATAACTCTTTCACTCCTAGAACCTGCTACTCTTGGCAAGCGCCCGACCACCGCAGCTGCGAGCAGCACAGATTGGTCCTCAAATACGAAGCAGGTGGAGCGATTCTCCTGTCACTGGTAAAGCCTCCAAGGACTGCTAACTGCCAAGCATCAGTCCTCGCTCTCCCTAAAAATAACACTCCTGCGTCCAGACACAGTGCTGAAATAACAGGCTGAAGGAAAACATTTTCTTATCAGAGAAACGGTAGTTCCTTAACATATGAAATTTCGGCAAGAACAACTTCAAAGGGCAGAGGTGAAAGTCTGAAATACCTGAAATGTCATCTAGTTTCTGGAAAGTGCCGAGTGCCAGGGATAAAGCATCCTGGTGCTGAGGAAGCTTTCTGTACAGCAGGCTCTGACTGGTTAGGGCTGGTCTAAAACGTCAATGGACGGCTCTGCCGGAGGCTGCTGCAGATACCCCGCGGCTGAGCTGAGCAGCTGCAGGTGCCCTCCCTGCCCCAGAGACACCTGCTCGGCAAGAGCCGGCACCGTCGCCACCGGGTACTCACCATACTGTCGAACTCGACAGAACCCACTATCCGTGACACCTCGTCAAACTCCTCGGGAGACATGGGTAGCAGGTTGTCTGTGGTCTGAAGTCGAGAGGGGTGACTAGAATGGGGAGAGAGGAAAAGGAAATGTTAACACTGAGATCGTGAACATGGTGGTGCCAGCTTGGACATTTCGTCTTCAGCCTGTGACGGAACTGTCACTGGAGATCTTTACTTTGGCTCAGGGCATCTGCTCGTGCACGACATTTGGAAAAGTACAGTTTGCAGGAGGTTCCTGTCCCCAGCCCAGCCCCTTGGGAAACGTCCAGGACTCTAGAGACGTGAGTGAGAAGTAGCCAGACTTGGGACCTGCGCCGCTCCTGCCTGGTTAAAGGTGCGGGCGAGCGCGGACAGCGCGTCACCCTGCGAGGCCGATGCCTCGGGGCTGAGAAGCTCCAAGCTTCCAAGCTCCGGAGGAGTGTCTGGGGAGTCCCTCATCCCTACCTTGAGGTTTGTATGCAGATAAAGCTGCTCCAGAGTGTTTTTACATGAAGACTACATCCATTCACCCCAAGACAGTGTTGCGGGCCAAATAACTGACAATGACTTTTCCAAATTTTTTTCTACCTTTTATAAAATGAAACAACAAAATAAAAGCAAGCGAAAAAAATGTATCTCAATCACCACTTTGGCCTTTCCTCGATTGAAAAGAACTACTTTCTCACTGTGATCCATTTTTGTTCATTTTATTTATACTTTTCCAAAGTATCAGTTGGGGGGGTACTTAAATACAACCTTGGGTGGTGATGGTGGTGTTTAGGGTTTTGGGGGTTTTTCTGTTTGTTTGTTTTGTTTGTTTTTATAAAGGCAGTAAAATTCTGATAGGCAGTGGCACCAGGATCTCTAGTTAGGATCTTTCCAACAAGTCCAACTTTGGTGGCAGCAGCAGCAATTACAATGAGAAAGCAGGAGCGGGGCGGGCCTGTGGTTTTTAAACATGGCTCTCTTCTGTGTTCACTTACACTTCAGACACAGAAATCAACTCTGTCTTGATGTATCCAGTTCCTTTAGGGCCATCGAGTTCCATTGGTTCTGGGGCTAGAAGCAAACACATCAGGTACAACTTTCTGTTAGCAGGATTTACCCAAGGACAGATGATCAATGTTCTCTTTGATCAGAATTTTACTGTTTGCCCTAACAGTCAGGTTAGGGTCCTGTAGCATTATGGGGCTGTGACTTCCCTGCCTGGATCACCTCAAATTCTGGTGGGAATGCAGAAGCAACCTAGAGGGGAAAGTCGAGGACCTCAGAACAGAAGTCAAGCTGCAGGCTCTCTCCTTCCCAGGCTTGAAATCCTACAGAAGCTGGAGCACAGAATGTGCAAAGCTGTATCTGGGTTAGTGGTCCTAGCCTGGCTGGTACGATATATGCGGCTGGCAGGGTACAGCTAGCGGCATCTTCTTCCCAAAGCAACTCTGTGGATATTGAGATTTCTGGTTCTGGAACATAAAAACTCTGTTGGCATGTTCCAAACCAGAGCACCTAATGTGAAAGTTCTCAAATGCATTTGGTAAAGAAGAAGCAGGAGACCTGTTCTAAGCTCAGGTCTGCTCCTAACAACAATCACTAGGAATAATATGATCTCATAAACTAATCAGATCACCCTAAATGAATAGTTTTGTTTCTCCTGGGCCTTAGTTTTCCCAATTTTAACAGGAACAGGCTGGTATCAATCAGTTGGCCATGGTGTTCCCACCTTTTACCACTCTGCATGTGGAAAAATAACGTAATAAATACACAAGACCAGAAATGGATTTTGTCAACACTCCTAAAACACCAAATTCTTTGTTCATTTCTTACTGTATCAGGCCAAATAACATGTTATATTTCAGCTATGCTGGTTTATACCATCTTTAGAAAGCCTGCTTACAGCAATTCAAAAGAAAGTGGGGAGTTAATGCCGCAGCAAGGGTGAAGCTTGCGTAGGCGCCATGCACTTCCAGGAAGCCAAGGGCGGTGTGTGCTATTAAACCCCGGCTCCAGCAAACCTGTGGGCAGAGAGGAAGTGAGAACCTCCTCATACCAGGAATGGGCGAACTGTGCTATTGCTCATAAGGGTGGTGACCATTCACTCCCCCACCTACCTTCCTTTGGCCTGGAGTAGTATTTCCCAAAGGCATGGTCTTTATCAATATTCGGATACAGATACTTCAGGGGATTCTCTGGAATATTTTCGGCAGCCATAACTTTGTAATTGCGAATAATATCAGGGAAAGTAACAGCAGAAAGTTCTTTCTTCGTGTAGGGCTCAACGGCATGGAAGTGAGGTTCTAAAAAAGAAGATCCAAGTAAGTCCCATGGACTAATCCCAAAACAACAGAGAAGAAAAGCAAAACATTGCAGAGTTCATGGATTTGAGCAAACCTGGTAAGAACTAATCACGATATAGGTCTTATAATAAAACATGTTGCTTCATTTCTGAATAAATCAGAATCCTTTCTGAGAAACAAGAAACATAAAGACAATGCAACAACACTGCCCTTGTCATTATTTACTGAGATTGGTAAACCTGGCAATAAGAGGTTTATTAAACATCTTCAGTAGCCTGCATCTTCAAGATGTCCCCACCTGTGGGCAGCTAGAGAAATACTAACTGGATCTTCCTGGCTCAAGCCAGCCACAGATTAAGTTAATAAAAAATAAGCTCACTCTCCAGTTGCTTTTCTTTTCAGACTGAAGATTGTAATTTTTTACTAAAATAATTAATGCAATACCCAGAAACCAATTTTTGAAACAAAAAAATGATCCTACTTGCTACTTTTTCTTCTAATCCTTAACGCAATAAACCCCTTTAATTTACTCGTGGTTTTACTCCCAGACGTCAATTGAATGCCGCCTCCTGACTGACCCAGAAGCTCACTTTTGGGTGCACACATTCCGGAGGCTGCCGTACGGGTGCTGCAGGGACTCTGCCCTAATGTGCAGGCTGCCAGCGTCCCAGAGGTCTGGAGCTGCTGTTGCCCCGCCTAAGCTTTCTGGATGCCAAGGACCTCAGCTCTGCCTCCGGCTTGACCAGCCTCCATCGCTCACTTAGCTTGGAAAAGGCACTACTGGAGAAGATGGACAAGGCCGCTTCTGACATCTACCGCCTACCCTTGACCCTAATCCCAGCCTTCCTCAATTTTCATTAGGAGAAAAATAAAAATAGGGGCGCCTGGGTGGCTCAGATAAGCCTCCGCCTGCGGCTCAGGTCATGATCTCAGCGTCCTGGGATCGAGCCCAGCATGGGCCCTCTGCTCAGCGGGGAGCCTGCCTCCTCCTCTCTCTGCCTGCCTCTCTGCCTGCTTGTGATCTCTGTCAAATAAATAAATAAAATCTTTAAGTAAAAAAAAATAAAAAAAAAAAATAGAACTGAAGTATGCCCCATTTTCGCAACTGTCCCCTGAAGGCAGGAAAGTCACTGGGTTCCCTCAGCTCCCCCCGAGCGCAAACTGAGAGTAAGTGCGGAAAGGACCGTGTCTACCGTGTCCTCTCCGAGGCTCGGCCTTCTCCCCGGACCCTGCTGCAGGGTGCGGCGGTGCTGGGCGTCTTTCCGCCGCAAACTCATCTAAGGAAACGCGAACACCCGCGACAACAAAGCCAGACTTGCCCCTGCTCAATTTGCACGCAGGGCCGGGGGCCAAGGGCAGTGCGGGGCGCGCAGGACCCCTGACCTGGAGCCTGCCGGGGGCTGCGCGCCTCCAGGGGGCCTCCCCGCGCGGCCCTGGGGGCACAGGCCTCCACAAAGTGGGTGTCCTCGCCCTATAGGTAGCAGGCGGGACAGAGAGAGCAGCACTCGGCCTCGTCTGTTTCTCACCCGTCACTTCCACCCGGGCAGTGACCCACGAATATTCCTGGCGACGTATCACACCCTCTTGGCGACGCTCAGGGGGTGGGTTTGGCAGCCATTGGGCTGTGGCCGCACCGCGGCTGCGCAGGGGACCCGAAGGGGAGGGGGGGCCCGCGGGGTACGCATGCGCGCAGGCTCACCTCCTCCGTTCTGGGGGCGCTCCACCCACGTGAACGTGATGGCGCCTTCGCGGCAGCTCTCGCTGAAGCGCAGCAGGAATGTCCCGGGCTGCTGGTCCTTCAGCAGCGCGCGCTCCCGCTCCTTGCTGATGAAGCCCACGATACACCTGCGTGGGGACAGAGAAACAGGTGGGCTGAGCGTCGGCTTGGAAACCAGGTCGATTGCGGAGACCCGACGGAAGAACCGAGGTGAAAATGTGGAGCCCGACCGAGGTGCGGGAAATCGCCCGCTTCGCCACTTCCGGTAGCGCTTGGCCTGTGCCTGGGCCTGTGCCTGTGCCTGTGGAAGTCCGAGCCCGTCATCCGCACCGGCCGGGGGATGCTGCGGACGGTCCGCACGCACTGGCTGCGCAGGGGCCCGGCGTGTCTACTTGAGGACCCTTTGTTTCCCGTGATTTTTAAAGGCCGTGAAAATGTCCGAGTTCCTGCATGTTTCGTACGGGAGATGAAGGCTCGGACGATGTCCTTCTATGTTCTACCACTTCTGGTAAAGTTAAAGCCTTTGCTGAAACAGCAACTGCCCCTGGCAGTAAGTCAGGTAAAAACCATTGACTGAGGTAAAAAGGGTTTTCTTCCTTCCTAGTGGCAATACAGTAAATCAGTGCTTAAGAAGTTTTTGTTCAATGAGTGAATGCACGAATGGCACTCAAAAAATCCCGTTTAAGTGTTGAAAATACCTATCTATAGATTATGAAAGTGTAAATTTAATCTGATGAGGTTCCACTATCATGCAGCCCTGTCAGGACAGCCCGGAAGCATCCATTCCTGAGACGCTCGCAAGTCTTGTTGAATTGTGAGGCCTGTCCAGGTCAGGTGGGTCTTGGACTTGCAGTAGGAGCCTGTGCTAAAATTACGTTTAAAAAATAAATTGATCGATGGCCCTTACCCATCATTCCAGAGCGAGAGCAGGTGTTTTTTAATGAGTTCAAGGATGCTTTCAATCCAAAGCCAGAAGGGAAAATTTTTATCATTTATGTTTTCCTGCAAGTGTACAAATGCACACATTAGGAACAAAGAAATTCAAAATCGTGAATTATCATGCCTCTTCCCACCATCAGATTTTAATTCTCAAAGCGTGACCAGCTGCCAAAACTAACACCACCCCCACTGAGCCGCCCCTCCCCTTACACAGACACTGCTCGCTCGCTCTGTCCCAGGCCAGGCTCTGCTTCCCTCTCTAAACTGTAGTGAACCAGCCAGGGAACGACCTCCACAGTGAATCACAGAACAGAAGCTGCCCTCCTGCTAGTAAAATCCAGTAGCGTGAGCTTGTCAGCACTGTCTGGCCACTCCAGAGGGGTCTTATTACTCCCTCCAACTGGTCGCACTGCTGGAGCAGGCTTGGGGAAACTCATCAGCATCCAAGCCGGCCCAGACCACGCACTTCTCATGGGCGGGGCTAAATGCTGCCAGGCAAGGGACTGCTGTGGGTAAACGGAAGGCTCACTTCAGATAGAAAGAATGTTATCACACACGCAGGAGCTTCCTGTCAGACTCACACTTGGAGACTGACCTTCTGCACTGAAGGAAAGTAAACAACCTGCCCCCGGGTTTCCCCGGGCCAGGGGCAAACATGCCAAAATAAGCACAAAGATAAGTAACTACCACAGCAAAAAACAGGAGAACCTCAACAGAGAGCGAGAACTCAGAGTGTAGAAAACCCAAACAGTACCCACCTTACAGAACCTTGTCCATGGAATGAGACCATCGGGGCCAGCATTAGGACCTAACCAAATAAAAATAAGCTTTTTCAGCAAACAGAAATGGACTCTGAAGCTTTTCTTAGACTGGCTAACCAAGATGGCTCTTGTGTATCCTCTCAAAGAGCTAACACCCAGAAGAGAAAGACTATGTATATGGTTGATACTCTGAGACACACTGATGCTAATTAATTGTACTTTCTGGAGAAGCCTTTATTTGGTCCCTGTCCTATGCAGTATCCTCTCCCAGGGCCGCCGCCTCCCTCCTCAGCAGGCTTCTCTCCCACAGGTCCTTCGGAGCTTTCTCAAGCTTCAAACCAAGACCAAGATCACCCCTAGGTGATCTATTTCACTGACACTTGACTGTCCAAGCTTATTTTGGATATTATTTGGGCATTTGCCTCAGCCTTTCTCCAAACAGGACATGGGCTGAGGGAGGCCGATATAGGTCAAAAGCCAAGTGGGAGACATGAGAGAGGGGAAGGAGGCTGAGGGGTTCTCCTCTTCACAAATTAAAGCAGCCCAGGCCATCAAAGGTGTGAGCCTGTCATCTCTCTTTGGAGAGAACCACAAATAAGCCATTATAGGCAAAAAATATATCTGTCTTAATTCTCACCAAATAAGGAAATGGAATAAGGTGATTTCTTACATCTTATTAAATGGTGTAAGACCCCCTACTGTGACAGCGACATGGCCACAAGAAGGCATACTGAGCTGCTTGGTTAGGAGGAGGCTTCTGGTGTTTGCAATATACACAATTCTTCATATAGAAAGCAAATTTGGAAAAAAAAAAAGTTGCCTGTGGATTTTTAAATAAATAGTTCAGATACTCTCATTCATTGAAGATTGAGGCTAGTTGGTCTTTGATTTCCTTTTGTGGAAGACTAATAAATCCATGACATTAGCTATTGAAGAGGAATTTTCTATCATGGCCTGGACACTGAGACAAGAGCCTTGGGTGTACCCTATGGAGTAGGTGGCCCAGGACCTTACCTATTTTCACTATGCTGGGGACTTACTTTTTTCTCATTTTTAGGTTAATAAGACTTCATTTTTCTCATCAAGGAACTTCTTTTAGCCACAACTAATATATTATATAATTCAAAAATATTTCCCTTAGAACCTGCTCAGTAATGTTAACAAGAAATAATTGGGAAATGATTCTTTTTAGTTTTTTTTAAATTAAAAAATTTAACCTACTTCTGAGGTGAGCTGTAATTCTCATTTAGCTGTAAAAAGCTGCAGCTGGGAAAGCCAACCGACTTTTTTTTTTTTTTTTTTTTTTTTAAACACTCTTCTACCTTGATCAAAATAGAGAGAGCAAAGAGGGGAAAGGAACAAGTCCAGATATTTTTATGAATTTAAATTTTCTAATATGGAGAAAATTCCTACCGAGTAGTTTCTCTCCCAGCATGTTGAGCTGGTCCACATTGAGACCTCTTTTGGTGACAGAAGAAAACTGCCAGCTGAGCACCTCCGAGAGCTGAGACCATCGTGCACAAGGTGGGTTCAGGAAGAAGGACAGATTCTAGAGAAAAAAATACCTAAAAGCTTAGGCCGTCAGTCCCAAGTAAGGCCCTCAGACCCAGATCTGTCCCGAAGTTCAGTTCTAGTTTCTGTGATACACACAAGTTTTCACAGAAGAGAAACACGATTGATTCTCGTTATTTGGAGGGTCACATTTGTGAATGCAATCTACTCATGCAAAGTTACTTTAACCCCCAAATGGCTCCTTGTGGCACTTCTGGAGTCATCTGTGGACACCATGAATAAAGCGGTGAAAGACTGGAGTCACCTGACATGGATGTTTCCAGGAGAATCAGACTACGCAACTGCCTTCTTGTTTCAGCACATACCACAAGCAAGTGTCCTTTGCCTTTTGGGTTTTTTTTCTGTTCTTTAAAAATTTCATTTTTAAAATGGTCACAAGGATAGCACTACGGTGCCACCTGATGTTCCTAAGTGCAAGATGGCCACCACGGGCCTCACGGAGCAAATACAAGCACTTAGATGCGCTTCATTCAGGCATGAGCTACAGTGCTGCTGGCCTGAGCAAAATGTGAATGCAAAAACAGATGTGTTAGAGAAGGCATCTTTAAACAGAAGCATACAAGGCCACATATCGATAGGTCCAGTAGCCATCATTCAGCATTTGCTAATTCAGTGTTCAAAGTGACTTTCAAGAACGTAAGTGCCAAAAAAAAAAAAAAAAAAAAAAAGAAAAAGAAAAGAATGTAAGTGCAGGGAATAATGAGAATCAGCTGTACTTAACAGTGAGTATGCACACTTAAGAATGGAGCGTGCAGATTTAGCAGATATATACACTTTCTTAAGAAAAGCAATAAATCAAGTCTTCCACAGTAAAAGTCATAGGAAATCTATTGCCTGAGCTTATTCCTACAGAAGGAAAACCACACTTCTCATTTCTAATATATATAGGTGCTTCCCTTTTCCAGAATTACTGAAGGTCCTTAATGAAAGCACTTGTTATGTCACTTTTCTCTCAACTTCTGGCCCTGAGGGGCACTGTGAGATATGCAGAAACCACATGATGGTTAGCGCCTGAGCAAAAGGAGATGAGTTTTCCATACCCGGGGTTCTGTCACCAGCATGTTGTACCACAGGATGGAGGCCCAACCACTCGGCAGCTGGCTGACGTTGGAGATCACCACGACGGGCAGAGAGGTCGTCTAAAAATGGTAAAGGCCTTGAAATCATTCGAATCACAGAAGTATCACCTGAAGACCACTGTGTAGCCTTAAAACTAAGCAAAGGGTGATTTGCAGATTTGCATGTATTTTATATTTGAACACTAAAAATGGAAAGTTAACTTTTGTCCGTAGCTTATTTTTCATTCTACCATTCAATTAAGAAATAAGTCTCCTTGCCTCATGTAATAGTTTAACATAGGACACCTCAACTAGGACATTTAGTTTGCAGCTTTTTAAAGCTGAATTCGGTTCTTTAGCTTCCTGAACCATTCAGTTAACATCAAGATAGTATTAGCTGAGAAAGATCTTCCTTTTTAGCAATTAAGTCAATATGTCTAAAACAAAAACTGAGAAATAAATAAAATTTCCCAGGTCTGACCATGTAAGTCTCACCTCGAGGTCAATGACCAAACCAGGCTGGCACAGCTGGGTCTCAAAACTGAGGGAGTGAAGCTCTTCAGTAACGATGAGAGGGCCCTTCGAAGAGAGACGGGAAAAGAGAAAAAAAAAGGAATACAGTGATTCAGTCACACATCCTGCAACTTTCAGGGACCTCATAAGGACTAAAAAGGGCTGCAGAGAGCCTGAATGCCAACCAACCAAAGGCAATTCAGAAAAAAAATTCCCATTTTCACGAATGTACCCCAGGTTCAATTATTGTATCTCCGTGTTCTCTTAAGGACAAGATTTCTGAAAGCCTGGCCAGGGTTACAGATTAACGGAAAAAATGTCAGTAGGGAAACAGAAGCTTCTCATGGGTTTCTTGGTAAGGAGAAGCTTCCCGGCTCTCAGCCGCCCTGCCTGCTGCCCCGTCCGGCTCCAACCCCGGGCGAGCCGGTGGAGCAGACACGTGTTCCAGGTGGGATTAGTTACTGGAAGGACTGAAATGCAGAAGCCTGGCAGGTCAGAAAGTTCCCGGTGTAGAAATATAACAGTTTTCTAAGTGGCTTCATACACATTTTCTCCTGGGAGCACCACAGCAACTGAGAACAGGAGAGAAGCAGCCGCTCTCTCTGCTCACAGGAGCGGAGCTGGGAGGTCACGGTGAGAGTGAAGGCGAAACCAGGGCTAAGCGGGGTCCGTCCCACTCTTCCACGCAACCTCTGCTGGGTGTGGTTGCAAGGCCCGCCTGCTACGTGGGCACAGAGCCTGAAATCGTTCCATACCAAACCAACTCCAGACATTCTGTCCTCTGTCCACAGTTCAGTTTTTAACGCATTACAGTCATCCCTCCTCCCCGGGGATCTGGCTGTAAAAAGGAAACGGTCAGAACGACGCTGCCTCTGGGTAGAGAATGCAGGGGTGAGAAAACCCTCTTGCCAGGCTTCAGTTTTCAGCACGGCAGTCCCCAAACCAGCCTCTAGTTCCAGCTCACACAGTAATTCCTATGTATCCTTAGCTGTATCCTACAAACTCCCTGGGATCCATTTTCTTTGCATGTGAGATGTGAGTAGCTCGGGAGCCCGCTGGGAGGGCCCAGCGACATCGTGTGCGAAATCATCTGACAAACAGAAAGCGTGAAGGCAGTGGGTTTTTTACTGGTATCACAGATACACTGTGTCTCAGAGCTCATCCTTTCCCCTGCGGGAGAGGACCCCTCTTTGAGGTGCAGGGGCACTGAGCCAACCTGCCTGGACACACCCACCTCTTAGAGACCATTCAAAACAGAAAAGGACTCACCTCGTTAGTTCTGGTGCCAGCATTTTTCTGTTCCTTCAGTTGCTACAGAACAAGAAACCACCTTAGTAAACGGCATGATAATGCTCACAGTTGCTATTTTCATCTACAAATCAGAACGAAGTCACGGTTCAGAAAGAATAAAGGATGTGAAATGATTTTCAGAGTGCAGAACAAGACATGAAATGACCCCTGTGTGGGGTCCTAAGCCTAAGTGCCCCTTTCCAGCACCCGGAAACCATGCGGACACACGTGAACATGGAAGGATCCCAGGAAATCACAGCCTGCTCCCTTCCCCCTGTGCCAGCTTTTCTGAAGGATCCCCCTTAACTTTCATTAACTGCTTCATCCCCGCCCCCACCCTGCTCAGGGCACAGCTAAGCCTGCCCTCAAGAGGACTTCAATCCCTGAGGTTTTAATGGAAGCATTCTGGAGCTCTGAGAGCAGCTCTGGGCATGTGCGACCCCCACGTCTGGACTGAGGCTCTCATGTAAGGTCTAGCTTCGTGAACTATGAATTTGCCGGCTTATGGAACTGTTGCCAGTGACCCTACCTGCAGGTTCCAGCCCAGGGAGCACACCAGGGTCAGGGACAACATGTCAGAACCACCTCACAGAGGCAGGCAAAAGGCACTTAAAATCCCCTGCGGGACTTCTGTGGCCTGGCGGGATGGGCCGACTCCGCTGGAGACAAAGCGGTGGGGGCAGTGGTCGGGGCAGTGGTCGGGGGCAAGACCGCCAGGAAGGAGAAAGTGAATAATGGGCCAAGGAGAGACTCCGGGGGTCTGCCACACCTGGAGCAGGGAGAAGGAGCAGGCAGGATGTGGGGGCAACAATCAGTGATCCCTGAGGTCGCAGAGGCACCAGGCACAGGTCCCTCACATGTACACTGGGTTATGGAATGTTTCGCCGAGACGGCTGTGCCCCAGCAAGTATCTCTGGAGAAGAGACTGGCAGAGCACGGGCAGAGCGGGCCTGAGGTGAGGAGGAGGAATGAAGATTCAGCGTGAAGTCAGCGGCCACACACTCTAGAAAGCCTTCTCCAGGGCTGTGTCCACATCACACAGCGAACCGGGTGCCCCTGCATTGAAGATGGGTCCTACCAAGCCACACACAACCCAGAGAGACGGGAAAGCTGGTCTCCTACCAGGTGCCGGAACTCCGCCGCCAGACTCCCGTTGGTGGACTCCTCCATGTTCATCACCTTTGTGTGCGTGCCCAAAATGTTGAACTTCCTGAATCTAGACACGGAGCAGAAGTACTTAAGAGGCTTGGAACTTCTAAACAAACAAAGACAGTAAAATCCAGAACAAGGTGCTTAACATACCCTTTTACTGTATTTCTCTCACTCACATCTCTGAAAAAGAAACACACACATATATATAAAATCATGTATGTGCATTTAAATTTTGAGATGAGCTTTAACAAAGACGCAGAAGTATACAATAGAGTAAAAGACCATACAAAATATACACCTGTGGGCTTTCTGTCCTTTCACTCCTCGCCCCCCACCCCCGAATTGACCCACATGAGCTCTGCCAAGGATTGCTGAGTGACCTTGGGCAAATAAACCATCAGGCCTCACGTCTCACTTGTAGGATGTGGTGCTGCCGGCGCCCACCTTGCAGGACGCCGAGAGTGGTGAGCTAGACCACGGGTGCAAGGGCACGAGCGCACCCTCTGCAGATGTCAGTAAGCTACGTTTCCGGCTGTTTCCTGAGCAGTTGCCCGCCTTTTGTGAGGCCCCAAGCTATGCGCGCGCAGCAGAGAGCCGTCGCAGCTGTGCGATTAGGGAACTTCCAGCATGACAGCCAAATCCTTCTTTTTAGTCTCTCTGATCCTTAATGCTTTTATGAAAGGACCAGGATAGTCAGTTATTTGGAGGAAACGGTCAAGTTTAAGTTTTAAATCTGAGGTTCAATCTCGAGCAGCCTGGCCTCTTACATCAATGCCATGCTGACTCTGTCACGTTCTGGGCTCCCAGATACCCGTCAGTAGAGGCGGAGCCCAGACATCATTAGCACGCTCACAGTGACATGGAAGTCATTAACACGCTCACAGTGACATGGGCCAGCGACCTTTCCTAGCTCAACAAGAAGCTCAGCATTGCTGTGAATGACAATCACCATTAGTGAGTGACCAACTGTCCCCAGTTCTGGGGTGGGGGGCGGGGGGGCGTGGAACTTAAAGAAAAAGGAACAGCATGATAGTGCCTCATCAGAGCTAAGAAGAAAACCCAGAGTGGAACAGAGAGAAAGGACCAAAGAGCAGTAACAAACCAAAGGAGAGACAGAGCACAGTGTAACGGCCACAACATCTGCCACTTTTCCTTTCAAGAGATACGAGTGTATTTCCCTGTCCCTGGAACCTTCCAGGTGACTCCGACTGGGATCTGCCCACAGAATGGTCAGGAGGGATTGCCGCATAAGCTCCAAGTCTCACCCCCCCACGCATCGCACGTGGCTATTCTTACCCACCCGGAATGCCGTCCCCATGCAAAAAAGCCCAGGTTAGCCCCTTGAGAACCCCGCGGAGAAGGGCCCAGTTATCCCAGCCAGGACCTCAGACACTGGACACCCCCAGCAACAATCAAGCTGATCCAGACCAGAAAGGCCACCCACAGTGCACAGAATAAGAGAAATAAGCTTTTGGGTTTTAAGCCTGATGTTTTGGGGTGATGTGTTAAGCACCAAAAGCAGCCACACAGAGAAACCACAGCTGATGGCAGGAAAGACAAAGGCGCAGAGCACAGCGCAGAACAGTATTAGCGGAAAGACACAACCCCGGAGGAAGATGACTTGCATCATCATAAATGGTTTTGAAACTTGCTAAATGAGTACGTTACACACACACTAAAGCATTAAAAATATCAAGGGGTGGGGGCCCCTGGGTGGCTCAGTGGGTTAAAGCCTCCGCCTTCGGCTCAGGTCATGATCCCAGGGTCATAGGGCTCTCTGCTCAGCGGGGAGCCTGCTTCCCTTCGCCCCTGCCTGCCTCTCCGCCTACTTGTGATCTCTGTCTGTCAAATAAAAAATAAAATCTTTAAAAAAAAAATCAAGGGGTGGGGGCAGGGCGGGAGCCAGCGGTTAGTTCAGGACTAGTCCAGGTCTAGCGTCCAAGGGCAAATGGGATAGGACTACTCCGTTTAGACCCCTGTGAGAGCTCCTGCCCACCCCTGGGTCCCTGCTGTTGGGACAAGGATGGATCCAGCAGGCCCCACACAGTCTCTGCAAAATGCTGTCAGCTGTGTTCCAGAAACAACCCACAATGGCTGCAGAATCACTGCATCAGACAGTCCTTAGCCTGGTGCAAGCCCAAGGGCCCCTCCTCTTCGGGGCTGGCCTAGGAGGAAGGAGGGGTGGCAGGCCAGGCCCAGTGCTTCGAGACTTGATCAGTACAAGCTCACAGGCATAAAACACACCCATTCTTCCATTTGTTTATAGTCTGAGAAGGCACCAGCTTGCTGCTGTCAGCTCTAGGCAAGGCTCCCAGTGTCCAGAATGGGAGCCATCAATTTAAAGCTCCTGCCATCATGCAGAAAATAGCCCTAGCGCATCAGTCCATGTCCGGTTAACAAAACCAGCATCTTGATAGTGTGTGTATCTTAGATAATATAAAAGATATCTTACTTATCAAATAAGACTTTGACTTTCAAATTATAATTCAGCTCTTGCAATTTCACCAGCAGTCTGCAAAGAAAAATAAAAGTCATTATTACTTTAAAAATTATCTATTACAGTCTATTTATTATGCCAACTCCCTATGGGTGGCCATGTCGATAACCTCTGCTCCCTCCAGTTATTACAAACAATAGCATCGACATCCACATATGTCTACTGGGATTTTTTCTAAGTGCATTTGCAGTATAAATTCCTAACCGTGGAATTGCTGGGGCAAAGCTCTAACACTAAATTCTGATAGAAAGAGCAGCGTTTCCACTCCCACCAAGTGTGAGTGAGGGTCCCTGCTTCCCTATACAGCCTTGCCAACACTGGGTTCTATCAAAATTTCTACTTTGGGACAATTATATGGGCAAAAAAGTAGCAAATGTACTTTTTACTAAAACTTGTATCTGATGTTTGTTCTGTTGGGAAAAAAATAACTCTGACCCATAATGAGGAAAGAGAGGGTAGCATCTACGGTCATTCCAGGTGGTGTGGAAAGACAAAGGAAGGACTACGGAAGTTGTGCACGTGTCTTCTCTGAGGAGCTGGAGACCTCCAGCAGGAGCCCCTCGCTGGTCCGCTCCACTTACTGGCGCAGGCGGATGGGACTGCGCTTCTAGTGCCCCTTCTAGCTGTGGGTCCTCGGCGCCCGCGGGTGCTCAGGTGTGATGCTGAAACACCAGCAGCCAGGGAACCTCACCGGGACCTAACTGAGCGGCACCCCAGGAGGAAGGACTATAGCCAGCTCTTTGGAGCCCAGCTGCTCACCAGGAGAAGAACAGCTAAAGAAGTTTGCTATTTGACAGAGAAAGGACAGCCCTAAGTTCTCACATGGCAACACTTCTGCATTTATAATCACGGAGAAAAACAGGTTGCAAAACAACACGTATAGCAGAACCTTAGTTTTTAAAACTAAAATCCTGTAGGTAATATTACATATGTGTGTATGTATGTATCTTTGTATGAAAATATATGTAAATACACACACAGACGCAACTGTATTTATTTCCGTATTTGTGTAGACATGAAGAGAATTCCGGGAGGGAGGACTGCCACTAGGCTGTTTGCCACAGTGATCTACAGATATTTAGATCACAGACAACTCTGAAACACTGAGGAAAGCTATGACCCCATTCACCAGAAAAACGAGTCACGAGTCCATATTCTCACACGCATGTGGTCTCGGGGCTACGTAAAGCCCAGGCTACCAGCTTGTTCTCAGGAGGGCACAAAACTGCTGGGAACTTCTGCGTCTACTAGATGCAGTTTTGCCCTTTTGAATTCCTTTTTACAGTGAATGCACATGACATTTACAGGGGGGAAATCGTGTGTGCGTGTGTGTACATAAGTATCTGTTACATTTCTATTTCTTTTAATAGAAAAGATGGACTCTTAGATATTCTAAATAAGAATTCACATCGAAATGCCTACTGCACCACTGCTTCCTCTAAGTACTCTCCACGACAGTGTGGTGTAGCAGGGGAGGGCGCACACTTCAAGGCGCAAGGTTTCTATCTCATCTTGGTTACCTCAACTTCACGGTGAACTGGACCCCGGTCTTCAAGACCAGAGGCCTCTGAGGATGAGTTGGCATGCAAGGTTGTCTTTCCACCACAAATGAGCTGTAAATTCCAAGAAAAGTGCAGATTAGCATTTCCATTAAGGCTGACGCAGTACCAACAGGAGGCGGGTTAGAGGGCACAGCTGTCCCACATCTCCACTCCGTGTGAGATCAGAGCATGATCTGTGACACCTCTGACAAGCAAAACCCTGAGTTACACGAATTTGCATGAAGAACCGAATTTGCAAAGTAGGCTTCACTGTGGCGATTGCTTTGCAATATATACAAGTTCGGGTCATTATGTCCTACACCTGAACCTGATGAATGTTGTATGCCAATCACATCTCAATTTAAAAATAAAAATAAACGAAAAAAAAAAAGTAATTTCACTGTAGTTGAAAAGGAACCACGTAACACATTGCTTGCTACCATAATTTGAAATGGTATTTCGGGATCCTTTGGAAAACTGTACTTCTAGTAAGACAGTTTGGTAATACTATCTAATAAACACTTCCAAATATGAATTTTCATTTAAAAAAGGATTACATTTGCATTCCAAAACCCAAGGAAATAAATATGCTCGCTATTTCAAAATACAGCACTAAGGTATTGCTGTTTGGACATGAGCCACAGGGAACCGAGGATATTTTTTTTATTATGTCAGGTTAGCACACACACACACACACAAAACTTGCAGTGTGAACTTTATCCTTCTACCCAGTGCATTTACCTACGAAGTATACTTGGAACAACTACTCATGATCAAGGCACTGCACAAGGTCCTTGTGGGGGATAAAAGAGGACAAAGGCACATCTCTGTCTTCCAAGAATTTCCAGTTCGTGTCACAGATGACAGAAATCCACATACAATTACATAATGAATCCAGAATGGGAGAAGAACAAAGACAGAGCCAGGCAGATCCAGACAGGAGCTAACATGTTTGGGAACTCTGGGAAGATTTCACGACAAGACATAAGCTGACACTCTCAGGAGCTTACAATGTTGAGATGAGGTTCAAAGAAGGCGGCTGGGGGCCAGAGGACACAGGAGAGGCACGGCAAAGTGACTGGAGTTGGTGCGGATAAGGTCTGCCTTATGTGTGGGGAAGCTCACCCTGGAGTGGTCAGCTGGGGCCAGGCCGGGGAGTTGGGGCCCAAGTGTCCAGCTGACGGGCTCTGCCTGGATGAGCAGGTGACCAAGAGCCAGGCTGGACACTGCTTGGGGAAGCACAGCGTTGCAGGGGCTGAGAAGGGACATGTTTGGGAGGTGATTGCACGAGTTCGGCAAGAGGATCTGAGAGCCTGAAACTCATGGGGCCTTGGAGTGGGAAGGAGGGGACAAACCGCCCCAGGACAGACTGGCAGGTCTCGGCAGAGACTGGCCCCCGGGGAGGGAGCAGTAGAATGGGTGAGTTACCAGGCTGGCTGGCCACAAGAATGCAGAGCCGCAGAGCGGACGGTACGGACAAGGCATTTAGGAAGAGGTGACCGCCCTAAAACAATTTAACAACATATTAAACTTTTAAACGACCTGAATCACCATGAAATTTCCCCCGAGTAAAGTAACTGCAGAACGTGCAAGCGAGTCCCCTCAAGTCACCTCTGAATGAGCTGCTGGAAAAGGCTGAAGGTGCGGTCCCACAGGCCTTGCTTGTTTTTTGTGATAGGGTCGTGTTCGTAGGTGTATTTCTGTTCCAACTCCTCAAGCTTTTTCAGCTGCTGACGCACCTGCTGCAGACTCTCCGCAACTATGGTGAACCTGGGAAGGGACAAGATTCGGGGACCCCGATCGGAAGCCGCCTCCAAGCCGCCCGGCCCGCAGGGAACCGTGGAAACCGACGAGTGGGTTCCCCAGAGAACACCTGACGTTATCCGTGCGGCCACTCTCTGCACAGAGAACAAGGTTCACGTTGCCATTAGAGAGTATTATTTGGGGGGAAGAAACCAACAGATTTCGGCCCAGACCTGCGGAGGTGGGGCCTGCTGGAGACCTGTGACTTCTGCTGACCTGCACGATGACCGGGACTAAAAGGACAGGCAGGGAGGAGGGCAGAGGCAGGGGACACAGCAAAGGAGATGCTATGACGGGTGATGCGGGAGGCAGCGAGGGGCCGTGCAGGTTGTGTATCAGGACACAGAGGAGCAAGAGAACAGCTTGGAAGCTGGGGAAGCCGCACGGTGAGGGAACGACAGGCCGGGGTCAGGAGGAGGAGAGGGAAGGAAGGTTACCGTTTTACTGAACTGAAAGAAGGTGGCAAAAGCGCTCAATCTAGACACTCAAAATATAAACCACAGAGGAAACTCGTGATTGCTTTCAGGTCCCTCCTTCCTTCCAGTGAAGGGCCTGTGAGCCGAGTCAGGCTGTGCGACTGCGGCTTGACTCCCTGGCGTAGTAACAGAGGAAGATCTTCTCCCAGTGAACACATCTCCTCTGCTTCACGGTTTCATTTCCTGAATCCAGTTCAAAGCACCCAAGGAGCAGCCCTTGGCCATGAAAGGAGAGGCGGGCTGATGGCGGCGGGCCAGTTCCGGGGGATCCTAACCGGGGGCTTCCCAGCTTCCTTCAAACCACGGCACACATGGGAACATGACAAATGACAGCCCAGGGCTTCCCTAGGCAGCAGGAGAGGTTTGGGGGTGGGGGTTAGGGGTGGGCGGGGTGTCACTGGTTCTCAAGGCCCATTGTGGGGGGTACACTGTTCTAACCAACAGAAATTTGGAATACAAGCAGGCAATCCACAGAATACAAATGAATAAGTATTAATTGTGAATTTAAAAAAAAAAAAGCCATTCAGAGAACCTGCTGAGATCTGTGGTCCTTGGGCGCTCGGGAACTGTTGTCACCCCCACTCTGACCCACCACTGCCACCTGCTCTGGTCTGTCGCCCCCCCCGGACGACACTAGAGCGCTCATGGTCACCCGGCTGGCCTTTCTGTCTCTAGTCTATCCTCCAGACTGCTGCCAGAGTGACCGAAGTCAAACAAACATAAAACCCGAGAAGTGATCGTGCACTTGAATCAAAAGCCCCGCCAGGCTCATCAGCACGCACTGGGTCAAGTCCTGTTCCTAGCGCGGTGTGAGAACCGCCTCAGCAGCCTCCTGCTTCCTGCCACCTCCACCTTCCTCCGCCCGCACCGCACCCCATTCTCCAGCCATCCCGTACCCGGTACCGCAGGCCCCCTCTCATGCCCAGCTTCTCCTCTCCTCTCCTCTGCTCTGTCCCTGCTGGTCTCCTCGCTGGTCTCCAGGAAGGACTCCCCTTCAGTCTCAAGTCAGTGCAAGAGCCCTTCTCGGAAACTCTGCTGGTGGCCGCTTCCCTCGTCCTCCCCAGAACCCTGGGCAGCCCCTCATTAGAGCAGCGGCGGCCTCTTACTGCACAGGGTGAGGAAGGGACCTTCCGCCTCCCCATGGAGACTCCTTCCTGGTAGGACCAGGAGTCACTCATCGTGTGTTCCCAGGTCCTAGCCTGGCCCACAGCATTTAATAAGGTTTTACTAGATACTTGACTGAGTGAATGGTCCAAACGATTGCTTCACAGAAGCCTGGAAATGTCTCATGCTATTTTGTTTTTAATTAAAATTAAACATTAGGGCTCAAGCGGTTAAATGTGTGATGTGGGGACTATGCCACCAGTGTTTTGGCATGAATGACGTGTCCCATGGGACAGGCACAGTGGGGAGAGGACTGCTCCAGACCAAGCAGAACTTGGCTGAACTCGGCCACAGGCATGAAAAATGTGCGTTTTACAAATGTTTCCAGGGCCAGAAGCAGCTGGGCTATATCAAAGTCTAAACAAAAGTCTCGACAGGGTCCTTTCAACTAACAACTGGAATGTACACTTTATGGGCTCATGGGGTCGGCGGTCAGATTTGGAGACTTACCAGTTCTGCAGCTGATCAAGACAAGCGTTGGGGGGCCCCCCGATGCAGGCGCTCTGCTGTCTCTGCTTCCATTCCACCAGCTCATCGTTGATCAGGGCTTTCTGGGTAAGTTCCGTAACATTCAACAACTCTATTATTTTGAGAACTACTTCCTAAAGGGAGAGAAAGAGACAAAGTGAAGTCAATTCATCTTTAATCACTGAATTTAAAAATATTTTTAAAAAGCAAAGCAAGGGGCGCCTGGGTGGCTCAGTGGGTGAAGCCTCTGCCTTCGGCTCAGGTCATGATCTCAGGGTCCTGGGATCAAGCCCCGCGTCGGGCTCTCTGCTCAGCAGGAAGCCTGCTTCCCCATCTCTCTTTCTGCCTGCCTGCTTGTGATATTTCTCTCTCTCTGTCAAACAAATAAATAAAAAATCTTAAAAAAAAAAAAAAAGGAAAGCAAATATTTCACCTGGGGCTCTAAGCCAAGTGGTTATAAAAATAATGTTTCCTCTATTCTAAACTTCATGTCCATTACTTATAGTCTGTGACAAAAGCAACACATTATTCTGGAAAGTGAATCACTACCTTTCTCTTATTGTCAAGCATTAAATACATCTTCTGGATTAACAACTGTTCTTGTTTCTGATCATTCTTTGCCACGCCATTGGTTTCATGCTCTGTGAAGTGAGAGAGATGGCAGGTAAGTATAAATGTAAAAAAACCAAAACCAACTAAATCCAAGATTCACATCCACTTAGAAAAAATAGAATCCAAATGTTATCTGTTGACAGATCCAAGTTTGATCTTCAATTTTCACTGAACAAAACTAAAAAAATGTCACCAGTTTAAAAAAATTGGACAGGCTAAAACAAAGTTCTTGTTTTCAATGACCCAGGTAAACTGGAAACTACTGTCCAGCTCTTAAATCATTGTCAGAATATTACCTAAATGAATATAACCAACAAAATCCAAAATCCCAGATAAAAAAATTTATACAAAGTGTACGTGCAGCTTTGAAAGAGAAGTACACAATTAGGAAGGATTAGTTTAGGTTCCTTTCTCTCATACTATTCCCTAAGTTGTCCTAATAATGTCCCCAGATCAACCCCGGTATCCTCCAAGTGATCGCTAGGGTTATAGCCAGCATATGGAGCTGCATCGTTTAAAAGAGCTTCAGGCTGGGAAACTCCACACACCTGTCCGGCTACATCAATCAGGGGGCTAGGTACAGTAAGTAAAGTGAGTGACACAGAGCCTTGTCGACAGCCAGTGATACTGGCCTGCCATCCCTCCCCCCAAACATGTGGCAGTGTCTGACAGGTCACCACTGGGGATTAAGGAATAGTTCTACTGCCATCTGGTGGCTAAAAATCAGGGCTGCTGCTAACTACCCTATGAGGCACGGGACAGACAGCCCCTTGGGAAGGAAACCGGCTCAAAAGGTCAACAGTACAGAGGTTAACACTGGCCTGCCTCATCAAGAAGCCAAGACTAGCAGTTCAGAGTCATAAAGCACTTGGCAAACATGAAGACATACTTGCCTTCTTCATCTCGTGTCAACAGAAGAAAGGACAGCCAATGGGCACCCCTTTAGAAGTTAAGTCTTACCTCTGTTCTGTAAGGTTTTGCACTTGAAGTCATATTCGTCTTGTAAATCTTCTAGGGTCTTTATTTCATGCTCTATACACTGCAAATAAAGACATAAACAGGTTTTCCCACCAACCTGCTTCCAAAGACTTTGGGAAATAGATTATCATTTCTGTAGGACCCAGAAACCCTGGCAACCATCCTGCACCCTCAAAGATGGATTCCACTTGCAAAATTCTAGTCACATACATAATAATCTCTATTTCCTTAATAAGAATATAATAATATTTTTAAGAGGAAGACATACAGTTATTTTCAGACTGGCTTCCCTTGATTTCTACTTTAATGCTTCCCTTCCCAGGCTCAGAATAAAACAGGTCCTTGAGAAAGAGAAGCCATGTTTGTCCTGGGGCTCTGCATAACCCCAGGAACATGCCAACTTGAGAAGCACGGCCATCAAAGGCTATTTCAAGCAGCAACATCTAGTTTATTGGGTGATGGGGCAAAGTCAACAGTTACTGTACAATCTTGCAAAGCAGCAGCTCAGTGTCTGAAGCTGTAACAGGGGCCATAAAAGTCTATCCGTGGGTTGGTTTAACTGCTTTGTTTACATATGGTTTGGAACTTCAGCAAAACTTCTCAACTACTTAAAAGACTGAAATCAGTTAACCATGTTTACACTCAAATAATTGAAACCTTTCTCGTCTTACAAAAAGTTAGAGGCTAAACATATATATTGACTCAGTACACACCATAACCTTATCCTTCACATTTCTGACTTTGCTGTCAAGCTCCTTCTGTTTGTCTAACATCACAGTGCTCTGGATACTCCCCGACTGCGCCTGCAAAGAGAGGGGCGTGGTTACCAACCAGTTCCTCTGCCACAGTCACCTGCTCATTACTCTCTGAAGTCGAGTCCACACCTTGTGCACCACCTACACCGCAGACCTTCCAAAACTTCCTACAAGCTTCCCACATCAGCGTTGACGAGAAACAGCTGGTTCTCAAGGCCCTGGAAAATGCTGGTGAAATGTTAAAAAGGCTACAGAAAGACTCGGTTCAGTTCATGTCTACTATATACAGAGTATTTCTGGAATTTTCCATTAATTCATATAGTTGCATGGTACCACACAGGAAGTTCACATCAGGGTTTCTCAAATTTTATAGACAAGATTATTCCCAAAAACCCTGTACTTATTTGTCATAAAGCCTTGCGATTCCTTGTGGCCCCCAGACCAGCAGCATCTTACCGCCTGGAGCTAGTGGGAAATGCAGACTCTCAGTGCCTCACTGATTACTGAATCAGAAGCCCCATTTTGACAAGATCCCAGGTGACCCAGAGGCCTGTTGAAACTGGACAGCACTGCCATTCCAGACTTCAGTGACTGTGTGCTACTCGGAAGTCATGACTATCAACCGAGACACACAGAGGATCCAGTCCTCGCCCTTCAGAGCACTCAAGATGTAGCAGCACTTCCGTGTTCCTTGTTTAAGGCGTTCCTTGGTTTATTCTCGCAGCAAGACTTACTCGCTATTAAGTCAAGGTCAGACAATGTCCTAGAACCCGGTGGTAGAGTGGTAAACACGAGACTGTTCTCATACAGATGATTCTAGAAAGAGGCTATTTTTGTTTAGAGTTAAAGCCCCTCCCATGGCAAAAACTGTGCCCATCGACCCTCCTTACGGAGGCCTACACAGCGCAGATTCTATGTGAGCATTTTTACCCCTTCAAACTTAACAGGATTTTCTTCTTTTATATCTGGATTTTCCCTATTAGAAAGCCTTTCTGTATTGACAGATTAGAAATAAGTTTTCCCATTTTTAACCTAGCACTTAAATGGTTTCTTTTTTTTCTACCTTTAGATCTCTAATCCATTTGAAGTTTATTCTTATGTTTACTGTGAAAAAGTGTGGGGACAATTTTAACTTTTTTCCCAATTGGCTGTCCACGTGTCTTAACAACATTTAGTGAAAAGTTCCTATTTTCCCCAGAGCTCTGACTTGCTATTTTTATCACACAAAGTTCCTTTCATACTTGGTTTTAAGTTCTAGACTTTCTCTGATTTTCCATGGGTTTTTCTCTTCCTGAACCTGAACAGTGTTCCTTGGAGGAACGACCTTGGAGGGCTTGGTGTGGACCTAATAGAGCGGGGCCCGTCTTCTTGTCGTGTTTCTCTGCTAGTTTCCTTGCTATTCTTGCAGAGTTATTTTCCCGACAACTTTCACAGCTTCGGAAAGAAACTTGTTACTTCTCTTGGGATCACGTTAAAATTATGAATAACTCAGGGACAGCCGAAAATTCTATGACATTGCTTTTGATTCTTATGCCTCTCATGGTGGTCTCTTGTCAAACTGTATTGGTGAATACCATCAATATAATGTTATTTAAGTATCAGTGGAAATAGTGGACATCCTTGCCACAGTTCTGATGTTTTCCAAACTACATAAGACACTGTCTACAGCACTGAGAGATATGTATTTTAATATGCTAAAGAGGTACCCATCAGTTTGTATATTATTTAGTGTCTTTTATCGGGGATGGGTGTTGGATTTTGTCAACCCTTTTCAGCAACTTTAGAGATAAGCATATGCTTTTTCTTCCTTGTATCTACTTACATAATGAATTACATTAATGCATTTCCTAGCCACACCCTACTCTGTAATTATAATCTGGAATAAATTCTACTTGGTCATAATATATTGTTTTCTTAATGTATTACTGAATTCTGATCACTAAAATATTTTGTTTAGAACTTTACACTGATATTCAGAAGTGAAATTGGCCTATAATCTTTTTTGTTCTATCTTTATTATGTTTAGGTGATCAACGTGATTCTTTGTTTACAGAAAACTCTGGAAGTTTTCCTTCTTTTATATACTCTGGAATTGCAGAAGTTCAAAGCGCCTGAATTATATCTGTGTAAAGTGTGCATTAAAAATACATTACACTGACTGGTACCCCTAGGTGCCCCACGTATCACGGAGGAATGAACAGGGCTGCTCGGGCCTTTCAGAAGGAGCTGTCGCTTTGAGCAGCTCCATACGGCCTCCTGCCTCTGCTGCACATCAAACGCTCAAGTTGGGTATGGAAGTGCTGAATCACTGTATTCTACACCTGAAACTGTTGTTACACTGCACATGAACTGGAATTAAATGCAAACTTTACACAAACCGTTGAAGTTGGAAGGGACTCGTCTACTTTTCTTTTCTCATTTCACACCTACACCACATACAGACCCTATCTGGAGGGTTCTCGTTAGAACTGCGCTCCACACACACCCCAGACCAAGGAAGTCTGCTCAGGGAGGCTTTCTCTTCAATAGAACAAGTGGCTGTCCGAATAAGAGGACACGTGACAGGCAGTGGATGGGCACCAGAGGTCCCAGTCAGAATGCCCTCCTCTCCCATCTCCCAAGTCGAAACCCCCAAGACAGATGAAGCAACTTCTCTAATGAATGGGTTTTAGAGTCAGACAATTCTAGGTTTAAATTCCAAACTCATTAGCTCTGTGGCCCTGAGCAAAGTACTTGACCCCTCAACCTTAGTTTTTCATCTGTAAAATGGGGATAAGAATACTTAATTTCAGTGACAGTTTGAAAACGTTTATTCAAATTAATTGATGTTTATAAGATATTTAGCACAGGTCCTGAAAAAAGCATTCAGTATATGGTAATTCTATTATTTTTGTTTAAAGATTGTATTTATTTGTCAGAGAGAGAGAGCATAAGCAGGAGGAGCGGCAGGCAGAGGGAGAAGCAGGTTCCCTACTGAGCAGGGAGCCCAATGTGGCACTGGATCCCAGGACCCTGGAATCAGGACTTGAGCTGAAGGCAGATGCTTAAGGGACTGAGCCAGTCCCTAATAACTCTAACAAAGGAAAACCCGAGAGCCACTTTGTGTCTTTTCTTCCAATCTGAAAGAACCGATCACCACTCCCTGTGGTGAACCCTATGGACCTAAATTCTATCCACACATAGAGTTTTTTCGCCACACACACACACACACACACACACGCACACACTCACATGTGTGCACATGTGTGCGCACAACACGAGAAAGAAAAAGCTTAGTGTGCAATAATGGCAGCAAACAAAACATTCATAGTTTACTAAGAAGTATCTACATATAAATTCTTTTTTTAAATATTCTCTTACATATACTTTCTAAAAGTTCTTTTATTACAACAAAAAATAACAGAAACAAAATTTTCCTATCCCAACATTTCTATAAAATTTCATAGAATTTGAACACTATAAACAGACTCTCAAGTTTGCATGTTTTTAACTTGTTGAATTTCTTGAATCCCTATGTACCTATCAGTTTCCACAACTGTCAGTCAAGTCATGGACACTCTTGTTTCATCTAGATTCTCCAAATGCCCCCGGCGCCAAAATGGGGTTACTCAGAACCAAACACAGGCATCACACATCATACGTCAGTATGCATAAAAGATACATTATTAAAACGTAGTTACTTCAACAAGGGGGAGAAATGGCAAAGAAATGTTTCTCAATTTCCCAGCCCATAGTAGATTGGGTAACTTGGGAGCCATTTCCCTTTCCCTGATGGTCTCAAACATCCAGATCCTTCCCTCAAACCCTAAGAAGGTCTTGCTTCTCTTGTTCTCAGCTGGGCAGTCAACTAAACTAAACCTCTAAACCAACTAAACCTCCTGAAAGGTGCTCACCAGTAACTCAGGGGTCTCCTGAGAGGCTTAAGATGGTCCGCGCCCCAGATCACCGACATTTTTAAAGGGGAGAAAACCACTGGCAAGCCTTCAAAACCCAGAGCATACCCAGGAGAGGAGGCTGATCTGGGAAAGAAGTCCCCTACTCTGCCTCCCAGTGCCCACTCTGGGCCTCGGGGCCAAATGTGAGGCTAGAAATGCTTGGATGCCAAGGTGGAAAGTTGGTTCTTCTGCCCATCTCTGCTCTTGGCGGCCCTCTCAAGTTGGACATACAGGAGTGGCCAGACCATTGCCTGGTGTTGTTAAGATGAAAATCCCACACAGTCCCAACGTCCTGCTGAAAACCATGCAGCTGTGGAACGCATGATGAAGACAAGTATACCCCCTGCAGAGGAGCCCAGGCGGCCGACACTGAGAGGCACTTCTGTTCATGAGGCCAGGGGCCAGATGCACTAGCTCGAGTTGAGAACAAATAACGCATCTCTTAAAATGCTCAGTGCAGCAGAGCGCTTCCAGTGGGCCCGGAACTAAATGCCCAGGGAAGCAGCGGATTCACAAAAACTGGATCAAATGCCCAGAAAGCGTATGGAGAATGGCATTCGCCCCTGCTACTTACATCCTACTACTCTGGCATTCTTCCCCTCATAGCGGAAGGGTCTTAGCCAGAACAACCCATACGTTGGTTTCACAACTTCGTTTCGTTGCCTTCTGGTTGTTTCTGGCACCTCAGCCGTCAAGAAGGGAATGAACAGATGCCACAGCAATTTTAAAAATCTGAGCCCTGACCGCCAAGGTGGTTTGTATTAATATTAGTAAAACTCTGATCAAAAATCTCGGTGCTAAAACAAATCTGACTCATTTTGTTTGGATGTCTTATACATTTAAGAGGTAACTCGGGGCGCCTGGGTGGCTCAGTGGGTTAAGCCTCTGCCTTCGGCTCAGATCGTGATCCCAGCGTCCTGGGATCGAGCCCCGCATCGGGCTCTCTGCTCGGTGGGGAGCCTGCTTCCTCCTCTCTCTCTGCCTGCCTCTCTGCCTACTTGTGATCTCTTCCTGTCAAATAAATAAATAAAATCTTTAAAAAAAAAAAAAAGAGGTAACTCGATCCTATTCAAAACAAAGGTCTTAATTTTCCCATCAACTTCTTCTTCTCCTCTAAAATATACTATGTCCTACAAAAGCCATCCCCCGTCCTTTCTTTCCTCCCCTGTACGATGAACAATATCTCCAAGTGATTCAAGTTGCAAACCATCAAGTCATCTTCCGTTTTGCACTTTCCCTCACTCCCATGTCTGATCCTTCAATATAAGCCCAATCAGTACCATATCCCAAATATAATCTGCCACTTTTTACCTCCACCAGCTGCACCTTTCTTGAGTCCACTTCCACCTCCTCTCCCGCTGTCTGTCACTTCCTTCCCTGCCCAATCCTCACCCTGATCTAAAGACATAACCCCACCCCCTCAGATACTTTGTTACTGTATCTCAGTATCCTCCTTTGGTAACTGCATAGGAATTGTCACTATCTGAAAATATTTTGCATATGTATTATCTCTCTCCCTCACCAGAATGACTTCCAACAGATCATAGTCCTTTCTTAAAGCCCAGGTCTATGCAATCTCTGTATCTGATCTTTCCCATTTCCTGGGGCTATAAGATCAGAGGACTTTTCCCTATAGGGTGTTCATAATATTTGTTGGGTATATGAATGCATTTTTATTTTACTACAATCTTGAGTGTTCCATTAGAAAAAAAAGTACCTGATTGAATCTCTGAGCATTTTCCAGGATCCTCCTTTCTTCCTTCAGACAGTTACAGATGATCATAGACATCTGTATTGGGTCTTCCTGAAAATTATCCTAGATATGGGTTAGAATAAAAACAAATTTCAGAATGTTTAAGCCACTGTATACTATTATAAATTGAATTTGTTCCTATCTACCGAAAAGCCTCCTCTTGTATTTATTAAATTCTATGCAAGCTATTTTTAGTAAAAATAAAAATACCCTTAATAAATTATAACAAAACCTTTCCAATAAGTACACATACCTAAATTATTTCTTGATTAAAAATCCCAAGTATCTTCATGCACAGTTCTGCTAATAGTTTTACTTTTATTTCTGTTGTTTTTTAGGCCATTTATGTTCTGTTAGGGTCCTGACACAATGCAAATGATATTTCTCAATTAAGTTTTCAGTTGGTCTCTGCTTTGAATTTACCAAAGATATTCTTTTCAGTTTTTCTATTTCCTTGTCAAAGCAGGTTGCAAAATGCTGACAACATGGCTCTTTATAACAGGTATGCTCAAGCAAAGTCTGTAGGAGAGCAAATTTCTGTAAATTTCATCTAACTTCCCCGTCACTGGTATTATAAAAGCATAGCTACGTTCACAAGGGAAGGAAAAGCTTCTAACTATCTAAGTTGAAGTTTGGTTACGTTGAAATAAGAAAATGATTGCTCTCACCTTCACTGAGACAGAAAAGTTCTGTTGTGACACAAGTAAATAGAGTAGCCAGTCTTAAGGGATGCTGGGAGCCTTTTGAAAAACTCCTAAAACCCTGTAGCCCACTGTCTCCGGCCTGGGACTCCCCCTGACTTTCTCTTCCATGGGAGGGCAATTCTTCCAAAAGCAAGGAAAAGTGGGCCTTGTTCCAATTCACTGAGTCTGTCAGAGCTCTGGGTCATCAAACCTTTCCGGACTGATTCTTCTGGACACCAACGGCTGAGATGGGACTACTACTACAGCTCCTTTGAGTTTCTGCATGGTACGACCACTCATGGCTTTTAAAATGTAACCCTGTCCCCTGGTTTCAATTTCAACAACTTGTAGTAAAAGAAGGTGACAGCATCACATTTGTCTCAGAATTACTGACACCTAACAGGTGATACACTTAAACCTGGAAATTCCTTATGTATTTACAAAATGAACAGATATCTTACTTTGCTCATGCTATAAAATATTAGCAATACAAAGAGTTTGTCATCTCCGAAACTTTTAAAAATACCAGTGAATGCATGCTCAAGTATTTGCTCAGTGAAAAAAAAAAAAAAAAAAAAAAAACCCTCTTACATAGGCTTGCAAAAACCAGGTCATACCTGAAGATTACGCTTGCTTTTCCTTATGTTATGCTGCAACAAAAAATTATTCTCCAAAGAAAAGCGACTATACTGATCATCCAGCTGGGACAGGAGGTCATGAAAACGGATGGTGGCAAATGAAACGTCATTAGCAGCATGCTCCCTGGGAGATTGAAAATTTACACATTTCGTTTCAGGTACTACTTTCAACAGACAAAATAAACATCGTTTTCCTAATGAAAATTATTTAAGAAACCAAATCTTAAGCATTCTCCTAGGTTATTTTTCCTTCTTTTAAGACTGAAATTGCTTTTAACAGCAGCTTGTACAATATTTCCATTACATACAATTAGCATGAAAAATTCCAGAACTCAGATTGTGCATGAAAACTGTTAATGATAATTATCGCTGGAGGGGGAAAAACCAATAGGGGCCTTTACTTTGTGTGCCATTTAAAATTTTTGCAATCAGCATCTAGTAAATTTTAAAATCAAGTACATATCAAGTTTTTAGAGCTAACCCCCTAATTTTATTACCTTCTTCCTATTTCTAATCAATGTTTTACCATAATTAGGCTATCATTGTTTCTTTTAACTTATTTCTTTCTCTAACCTGGATCCTAACGTGGGAAATAATTGGTGCCAACCTTATCTAACTTGTCCAAAGCATTCAGGAGTACACGTCATAATTCAATGGACAAACTACATACAAGCACTTAATGACTAACACAGTTTTGTAGAGACATATGCCATTTTTCAAACCAACATACTGCTCTGCAACAGCTAATCCAAATGGCTACAATGAGATTCATCTCTTATCCAGTGCGGCTCCAAGTCACTTAATCACTTTAAAAACAGAAAATCTTCAAGTGAGCGTCCCTTACCAGTCTTGTTTTTCTAGCCACTGCGCCAGGTACTGTCTGATTTCCATGGGAAAACTGTCATCGTAGAGCTGGTGAACCTGCTCTAGGAATTTGGAGTCAAGCTGCTGCAGCTCGTACCACTGCGACATCCTACCAGGAAACAGAGCACAAGACCTAGGTCAGGAATGGAAGAGCACAGTTCCAAAGAAGGCGTTATCTAGCACCACGCTTCTTTTAAATAGCTTACTTAATCCAAAACATAATTTGTCTCTGAAATACATTATTTAAATGGTATTTACAGTCTGAGGTCTGTTTTTTTAAAATTAAGGTGTGGGGTCGGTTTGTTTTCTTCCTTCTCCAGAAAACACACCTTCAGGCCTTTTGCTCAAGTGCCAATATACCAGGGAAGACTTTCCGGCCCCTTACTTATGTTGACATCACATCTCACCTCATAAAACACTATCCCTCTGCCCTGATGTGTTTTTCTCCATAGCACTTACCACCAGCTAACCCGCCCTGTGTTCTCTTTTTTATTCTAAGGAATAAAGGGAATGAATGAAGGGAAGAATCCCAAGGGTGAGTGGACTGTTCAACGCTCTATCTCCAGAGCAGTGCCGGGCGCATGATAGGACTTTGAAATGAATCCGTACTTTTATCGAATAAAAAGTGAAAAACATTATTTTGTTAGATTTGCTTCCAGACAAATCCTAGGAACCCTCCAAAAGCTGCTCTCTTAGAAATACAGTACATTTGGGGCACCTGGGTGGCTCAGTCAGTTGGGCATCTGACTCTTGATTTTGGCTCAGGTCATGATCTCAGGGTCGTGAGGTCAAGCCCCACACTGGACTCTGACCTCAGTGTGGAGTCTGCCTGAGATACTCTCCCTCTCCTGCTGACCCTCCCCCTGCTCTCGCGGGTCTGCTCTCAAATAAATAATTAAATCTTAAAAAAAAAAAGAAATACAGTACACCTGTAATTTAACTCAAAGAATTTTAAACCAATATTTTATACTTTGTGATTCATATGCTAACATGAATTATTTTTGTCCTATACCTTTTAAAACAGATTTTCTTCTTGGTCTACTTAGAACAATAAAAGTAGTATGAAAACTCTTAAATCTCAGTAATAATTTAAAGATGGAAACAACACTGTTAAGTATAATTTCAAAAATTAGAGTACTACTGTCTCTTTGGATAACCGTAAGTCATTTTCTGCAGAGCAGTTCTAAGGAAATGAAAACAAAACCCCGATTTAAGGAAGTCCTACCGTCTACGTGGAAAACGGAGAGCCTCCCATTACCACAGCGTAAGTCGGGATTTACACCAGCACACAGCTGGCTCATGCAGCATGGGTACACATGGCTCGCATCCTACCAGGCCTCTGTGGAAGGGGTCTGCATTTTCAAGCAGGGCACGGAAAAGCCATGCATGCTTGCTGTCAAGCACGCTCGTGGAGGCATGAAGTCACGCCTACTCCACGACTTTCCTTCCGAAGAAAAGCAACGATATGGTGGGACAATAAAGCTATTACCATCACAAATGCCAGTGGAAATGGACACAAACCCACTCCTTGGCACACCTGCTACAGGAATCTGATTCTGCACTTCAAATTAATTTCACCCCATGGGTGACTCCAAACCTGTGGCTCTTTCCCCACCCTGGCAGGTGTGTAATAAGGATGTGCCTAGCAAATTGGCTGGCCACGGGGTGAGCCAGAGGGGGCATGACACCTCTTACTAGATGCAGGACCTCAGGCAACTCACTTCCCCATCAACATTGCGGTTGTTAAGACTGGAGGAGCTAGTAGAGCACGGAGCAGGCGATTAATAAATGCATGCTAACAGATCCAGAATCAGTATCATCTCATTAAACCTGTAACCAACTCAAGGAGGGACACAATCATCCCCTAATCACCTGGCTCAAATTCCAGTGTTATGCGGACTCCTCCCTCCAGTCCCAAGACCTCCTGCCTCTCGGCTTCCAACACTACTTCCCAGTGTAGCCTCCTGCTGTACACAGGTGGACCACATCACTGTCTTGCTCAAAACTGCTAGTTTGCCCATTCCTAGGCTGATCTGCACCCCGACCCTATCTTCATCCGTTAGCAAAGCAAACCTGTCACCAAATTATCTAGTGTTTTGGTTATGCCCAACATTTCCGCTCTGCTCCAGCTGTCCCTCGCTCTTCAAAACAGCCTCTCCAGGAATTTCCGCCTAAGTCCTACCATGATTCAAAGGTAGATACAAAAAAGCCCCTTCTTCCATAAAGCTGCCTAGGACTTTCCCAGAGACAGTTAAGCTTTCTTTGACTTTGCCTCACGCACTCTGCACCCTCGGTTACTATATCAGCTCCATATGAAGAAGCTCTAGGCTTCCTCCCCTGTGTGATTGAAGTTTCAGAGGTGCCAGGGCTACCTCTTTTTTTAAACAAAAAACCACCAACAGTGTCCTGCCCATCGTAGGTACTCAAGTTTACTGGACTGAAATCTCGTCTATTTCGTACTGAATTAGAAAGTAAGGGGCAAACCCTGTGATGCTCCTCCGAGTCTGGGTTCCGCATCCTCATGAGGCAGCGGCTGTCCACCGGTTTGTGCTGGAGGCTCAAGTCTTCCTCCCGTCACCTGAGAACAACCTCTCCAGCCTCCACACACAACACTCAAAGCTCAGTCACTCGCATACGCACACAGATACCCCCCAGACTCTTCAGGATTCGCCACCAGTTTTCAAAGACTAACAGCACTTGGGGGTTCGCAGGAACTTTACTCCAGGAAGACATGAAGCTCCTTTATGTCTAAACACAGACAAAGGATTAAGAGTCCAAAATGAGACGCTCCTCCGTTCGTTCTCCCGAACCGTTACTGACCTGTCGCCTCGTGTCCCGCCGCCGCGGGGCTGAGGACCCAAGCCAAGAGGCCGCCGCGCACGCGAGGGGCGAGCGCCGCGGGGGGTGCATGCACAGGCGCGAGCGTCCGGCCGGGGCGGCTGTCCCGCGACGGCGCAAGCAAACGATCACTTCTGTGGAGAGAGGAGGCGCCCGTGGGGGAGTGGGCGGGGCGGAGGGCAGAGCGGGGTCAAGGCCCCGCGGCAGTGTCTTACGGGGGAAATCCTACTTCACAAGACTCTTCCTGCTAGGGCACAACTTGGCTCCTCACCCAGAAGGACCCCGGGGTGCCGGGGACGCGTGCTTCCCCGGTGGCGGGTGCGCCTGCAGAGCGGCCTTCGCCGGGCGTCTGGCGGCCAGGCGGGGACCGCGCGGTCCTGGGACGCCCCACCCCGGCGCCCGGAAACCCAGGCCACTCACTCTGCGCGCCGGGTCGGGCAGCGGTGGGCGGAAGCGCCGCGGGGCTGCTTATCTCGGGTCGCCGCACCCGCTTCGCCTCTGCGGGGTCTGGGGTCGGACGGGCGACGTCCCGGTAGCGGCGGGGCCCGCGGCCGACTCTGCAGAAAACCGAAAGTAGCGGCTGGGAGAAAAGACAACGCCCGGCGCCCCGCCTCCTCGCGCCTCCGCCAATCAGCGGGCGGCTGCCGCGCACGGCCAATCGGACGCGGCTGTTCCGCGGGGTCGCTGCCTCCCCGCCGCGGCCGCGGCCCCTCCAACCCGTTGAGGCCTCCCTGGGCCTCGAGCAGGGCCCCGCGGGGCGTCGGGAGGCTGACCCCGTGTCGCAACTTAGCTGGCTGGCGGTTACCTCCAGACATTGCGGACGATAACTAAGAGGATGTCTGTGTTCGCAGAGGCCCAGGCTTGGAGACCCTGGCGTTGAACCCCTGTCTGTGAACCCAGGGCCGGAGACCGTTGGGAACTCGGTCTGAGTCGGGCAGCTCACCTGCTTGCTGCTTCCCGGGACCGGTTCTGCCCCGCCTGACCCCTCAGACACGCTTGGCACAGCTGACCCTCCATCTGTCAGTACCCACTCCTGCTTGCGTCCTCCCGCCTCCGCGGCACCTTTCTTCATCTCCGCTCCTCCGTCGCCGAACTGTCCACCTGAGAGGTTGTCCGGGTGCGAAGCCGCTCGGGTTGGCGGACATTCTCACGCGGGCGTGTGGCGGCCGCACGCACAGTTGCCTGCTAGCGTGGAGGGCTGCTGTGTGTCCCGTCCGCACCCGTCTGTCCTGTCCGCACCCGCGCGTCCTCTCCCACCTCCTGCACGTTCCGCGCCCTCGTGCAAAGTCCTCCCTTGTTCCACGAGGCTCTTCGGTAGGTTCTGCAAACTAGTTATATTCAGAACCAACTCATCATCTTTCTCCTCAAACCTGCCCTTCTTTTGCTGGAGCCGGCATGTGGCAGCCAGGAGGCCTCCCTGACTTTGTCTTCTCCCTCAACTCCCACGCCTGGTGCTCAAGCCTCCTTGACTCTTCTTGCCAAATATTCCTCAAGTCTCACCAGCTTCTGTCTGTCTCATACCATCCCCACTTTTTTTTCGATTTGGATAATTGCAGTAGAGTCCCAAATGGATGCCTCACTTAAGCTCTTCATTGCCCGCCCCCTTTTAAGTTTATTTGTTTTTTAAGTAATCTCTACACCCAACATGGGGCTTGAACTCACAGTCCGAGATAAAGACTCGCTTGCCCTACTATCTGAGGCAGACAGGTCCCCTGCATTTAACTCCCTTTTAATCCATTCTCCATGCAGCGGTTTGAGTGATTTTTTTTTTTTAATTTCAAAGCAGATCATGTGTTTGCCAACTTGAAATCCTGTGATGGCTTTTCTTACAGAATTCAAATTTCCAAATATAGCTTACAAAGCCTTGGTTCCCCTATCTCTTTCTCTAATCCTATCTTGTGCCTCTCTTTCCTTTCTGTACTTCAGCATTCTTAGTTTTTGAATATGCCAAGCTCTTTCCCCAAACTCAGGACTTCTCAACAACAGTTCTCCATTTGGAAAGCCCCCTGGAGCAACATCGGCTTTTCCCCAACCTCTTTTCTGGCTAACTAATCTTTTATGTCTTAGCTAGAAACTCAGCTTAAATGGCACTCCCCCAGGTAGGCACCCTACAGGCCAGCCTAGATTCGATCTTTTTTTTTTTTTAAGATTTTATTTATTTGACAGAGAGACAGACAGACAGACAGCAAAAGAGGGAACACAAGCAGGAGAGTGGGAGAGAGAGAAGCAGACTTCCCATTGAGCCGGGAGCCCAGTGCAGGCTCCATCCCAGAAACCTGGAGTCATAACCCAGCTGAAGGCAGACATTGAATGACTGATCCACCCAGGTGCTCCTAGATCGATCTTATTGGGATGTACGCCCATCAGATAAGCCGGCTCATTCAAGCAGATGGAACTTGAATCAAGCCTTGAAGAATAAGGCAAACTTGGGTAGGAAAAGGATCTAATTAATTTCCCACAGATATGCTTAAATGTGTTTCTATTGTAGTTTTTCTCTTCCCACAGCTATACATTCCTTCCGGTCACATACCCTTACAAAGCCAGTACTGATCTGTGATAGCAATGACCTTTGGTACCAAAGTAGCTGCCTTCTGTAAGAAAAGATGCCAGGCCACCATAAAATGCCCTTCCCCTCCTACTCACCTGCATTAAGGGCCCAGACAACGTTTGAGAAAATCTGACTCTAAGAAGAGTCAGAACTTGTTATCAAGTTCTATGGATGCCTCCTTCCCTCTGTCTTTATCCTCCTTTGTTGTACCGTCATTGACCATACTCTCCCGTAGCTCGCATCACTTCAGACCCAGAACACTAGAGACCAGGGAGACTACCTTCTTCCATCCCTTTCCTCTCCACTGTATTTTCCAAATTAATTTCTCTAAAACTTAACCTCAGTGATACACTCAGTCCCTGCTCAAGAGCCTTGACAACTCTCATTGCATTTATGGTAAAAAACAAACTCTGTCTGTGAGTCTGGGTCCTCCACAGAATGTCCTTACCCTTCTCTCCAACCTTGTCTCCCACTGTCCCGTTACCTGACGAAACTCTATCCTCTGTTTTGCCTCCATTCCCAAGCTTTTCATTTCCCTGTTTCTGTCCCTTTGCTCATACCATTGGCAAGTATTGCACATACTAAATGTCATGTCCTGCCCCTTACTCACTTCACCTATCAAATCTTGACTCAATTTTGTTAAAACCAACCCCAAATCCTATATTCTCCTTCTGGAACCACCTCACCCCATGATCATTAATCTTGTCTCTGAAATAATATAACACATGAGTGTCTCCATTTTTGTCAACAATCACCACACACTCCCTATATTATGGTTTTGAAAGTGTCTGAGCCTTATTTCCTCCAAGATTTCAAGTTCCAGGGGGGCAAGCTTATGTATTTTGTAAGTGTGACTAACATACTGACCATTGAAAAAGCAACTCAATAAAAAACCAAACCGAACAGAAAAACGAGAGATCCAGAAGTGAAAAACCCAAACGTGTGAAGGCCCCCTTAGAACGGCCCGTTTAGGAAACTGTATCTCTATGCCAACCGTGTCAACGTTGCAAAAGACACAAATCTGGAAAAAATAGCTAATACCGTGTTTGGTAGATTGTGTTATTTTTCCTTTTTTTTTTTTCTTTCTTTCCCTTCCCACTCCTTGCCTCCATTCACTCTGGCCACAACATGGAATAGAAGCAGATAGGAGGTACTCAGGTCTAACCAACGTGGGACTGCGAGTGTTCGATGTGATCCACTTGTCAGTATGCTCCTTCTCTGCACTGGGAGAGGGCAGGCTCAAGCAGCCGTGGCTCCTCCAGCCTGAGTCCTAGAAGCAGAGATGTGAGGAGACCCCGGCGCCTACCCCCCAGGACAGAACTGCTGCGGCCTACCCACACACCGTAAGAGGTGTTTGTGGCCAGTGCTGTAAGGCCCTGAGATCCCCCCCGTCGGCTGAAATAGCCCCCTAATTCACAGACAGAATCAAAAGTCTAAGTTATCTTCGGGTAGAATGTTGTTGTGCGGACACCAACTGGAAAATACTTAAGAGAGTAAATGCAAAGACCTGTTATTTGGGTTAAAAAAGAAAAAGGCAACAAAGGACAGGTACTCTCTGGTGCCAGGCGTGGGAATACTTTTCAACACTGTATCGGGTAAGTCACTAGCGCTCAATCGGAAATGGCAGGTAAGAAGAATACCCCTCGTCCGGTATTTACTTATTTAAAGGAGAGTCAGGATGGTGAGGAGGCTAGATACCACATTTCATGATGAGAATTTGAAAGCGCTGGAGTAACTCATCAGTTCGCATGATGTTACAGTTCTAGGAATCTTTCCTTTCCTGGTTCTCCGCATTTTCGATATTCATATGCTAGAATATGAAAGTTATGCTTTCAAAGACTAGTTATTGGGAAATATCCACGTATAAAATTAAATGCAGGAAAACAATATCCTATTACTGTAAGGATATATAGAAATGTAGATCACGGAACACTCAGAAAGGGAAAGTGGAGAGACAGGGAAAATATTTGAAAATGTTCAAGTTTCTGGGCGGTGGGTTACTATATAATTTTCTTCTCCTGTTTGCACAAATGCTTGTACTGAGCACATTTCAATTCATGGTCCGAAACCGTCGTGAGCACCTGCGGAGTCCTGCGCCCCAGGCGGCGGCCCGCTGGGAAGCGCAGGTTACCCGCGGCTGGAAACGCCTCCGAGGCCGCCGGCCGGCGTGCGGCGGGAGGGGCGCCGCTGCTCGGAAGAGCCGCCCCACGTGCTTTCGGGGAAACGGCTCTGGAGCGAGAAGGAGCAGGATTGGGAGGAAACCGAAAAGCGAAAGTGAACAGAGTCGGGGCGCAGTGCGCAGGCGCCGGGGATTTTCCCACCGACGCGCGGCGGGTCAGAGTTCCCCCCGCGCCGAGCCTGCGGGGTGCGGTGGGGGTCAGAGCCGGGGGCGTGACGCGACCGCCAGGCCCGGACTGGCGGCACCTGCCTGCGCCCTCCAGCTGGCTGAGTCTGAGCGGGGGAGGCGCGACGGGACGGAAGGCGGGGGCCGGGGCGGGGCGGCGCGCGTCAACTTTGGAAGGAGCGAGGGGATG